CAGTGTCTGTAGTAGCTGGGATCACAGGCCTGTGCCATCAACCTGACTTCAAGCTTAGCTGCACCTGAGATTTAATTTGCACAACGTGCTCGACCCCCAGAGCTTCGTGTGGCCATCACAGAAAAACGTGGTTTTGTTTTTCCCAACTAAATCTATTCAAACAGATAATCTTTTTAAATTTTAAAAATCTGTTTATAGGCCAGGCAGTGGTGGCACACACCTTTAATCCCAGCACTCGGGAGACAGAGGCAGGTGGATCTCTGTGAGTTCGAGGCCAGCCTGGTCTACAAGAGCTAGTTCCAGGACAGGCTCCAAAACTTCAGCGAAACCCTGGCTCAAAAAACAAACAAGTAAACAAACAAACAGAAAAACCCACACACAACCTTATTTATTTATTTATTTATTTTAGGGTTGGAGATTGTCTTGCACATGCTAAGTGGGTGTTCTGTCCCTGATCCACACCTCCAGCCAGTGTTCGTTTGTTGTAAGTCACATGTGCAACAGAAACAAAGAGTAGCGCTGGAGCCCACGCTTTCTCTAGCTTTCCTCCATCAGCTTCAGCATGTGGCTTCCCTACTCGTGAGCTCAAGATAGCTGCTGTGACTTTGCCACCAGATCTCGTGTTCCAGGCAGAAAGTGGGTGAAGGGTGAAGCGTTCCACATAAGGGCGACCTCTCAGCATCTGGTCTTTGTCTGCTCATCAGAGGAGGGACTTTCAGACTTGTCATCCCTCGCTCAGAAAGGTGTCAGGTGGTCACGAGGCTGGCAGGTAGCCAAGAGAAGCTGACCTGGTTGTTTTTCGCTTGATTTCTTTAATGTTCTTTGTGTGTGTGTGTGTGTGTGTGTGTGTGTGTGTGTGTGCGCGCACGCGCGCACTCCCACCATGGCTCATGTATAGATGCCAAAGGACAACTTGGGGAAATTCAGATCAGGCTTGGTGGCAAGTGCTACTTGCTGAGCCATCTTGGTGTTGGAAACTTTGTAACCGGCTATATGATTAAAAGTTTTGGCTTTGGGAGTGCCTCTGATCTCTGGGGTTGGAATGTTCAGATTAGGGATGTTTACCCCATCTGTCAAATGTCCTCTACTCCAAAACACATCTAATTTCTGAATAGCCCTTTGGTCCCAAGCTCTCCAGGTGAGGAGTGCTCTGCGCAGCATACTGAACGCCGACCATTAGTGACGCTAAAAACCGCAAACACACAGAGTCCTCGCACAACGGCACCTGGTCCTGGAGATGACAGAATTGGGCTTACTAGTGCATGACGTAACCGTTTCTAGCAGAAGGCCCCAGAGGAGAGGGGGTTCCTTATCATGTCCTCCATCAAGGAACAAGTGAAGAACAAGGGGAACATGACATTTACCCTTGTTACAGTCAGTGTGCTTCTGGCCCTGTACCATAGAAGAGGAGCAAGCGGGAACAGAGCGCCTAGATCGTCAACTTCAAGATGGACAGGAAAACAATAGATGTGTGTGTTCTGAGGCAGAGAAGACCTGACTGTGGGCCCGGCTGGAGGGTCTGGTCCTGGAAAGGCTGCTCCTCCGTGGACTGTTGCCATCATTTGTCGTCTTCTCCCACAGGGAAGATCTTGGTTTAGAAAATTGGAGGAGCTGGGCGGTGGTGTGCACCCCTTAATCCCAATCGGGAGGCAGAGGCAGGTGGAGCTCTGAGTTTGAGGCCAGCCAGGTCTACAGAGTGAGTTAGGGCAGCAGACATACACAGAGAAACCCTGTCTTGAAAAACAAAAAACAAACAAACCAAAAGGAAGTTGGAGGAGACTCTCAGGAGTTGCTGCCCTACCACACCCTTGCCTCACCCCAATCCGACTACCCTCAGCTTCTACAGGACTCTTCTTATACCCCAGGGCATATCTTCTAGAGACCCTCTCTGTGCCCCCACTCCACAAGCCCAATGGCTCTCCACACCCCTGCCCCGACCTCTCTGCCCTCCCCACCTCCTCTCTCTGCTCCTCCCTGGAATGTCCTCCTCTTCTGCTTCCCTTCCTCTCTCCCCTCTCTCCGTTTCCTCTTTTCTCTGCCCTCTCATTTTCCTTCCCGCTCCTGTCCTTATTCCTGCCACCTACTGACAGACTGCAGCAGGAACAGCCCTGCACCCCTAGCCCCCGCCGTTTCCATGGATCTGGGCCCAATACAAACAGCCCAGGACCCCCCACCTTCAGCCTGGCCTTGGGAGTAGGGTTGGGTGGGCAGATGAGGTCATTGCCACAGGCCCCCCAGCAGGCCAGTAGGCCTGTGAGGGGAAGAAGTGTTTGTTTGGTCTTGTTTCCCTGGCAACTTGCTGGACCCCTCCCCCACTCCCATCCCCAAGCAGGCCGGCAAAACTGTGAATAGGACCACTGCCCTTTTGCAGGCCAGACCTTGCTGTGCTGAGACCCCGGGGCCATAATTCTGAGCTGCCAGAAAGGACCTGTAACCCTTAACCCCACTTCTAGAGATAGAGATTGGAAAATGGAGGCAAGACCAACCCTGCCCAGGGCTGAGGAGCACCCTAAAGCTCCACCTGCTGTCCCTGGGTGACAGCATCTCTCTGGGACAACAGGTTGGGGTCAGCTCCAACCTTCCAGGAACAGAGCCCCATCATCCCTAGCAGGCAGCGGATGAAGGATGGGGCAGAACAGTGCCCCAGTGTGGCTAGTCTCCAAGCAGCTCCAGGGTCCAGGGTACCAGAAAGCCCCTGCACATGTGCCTCCACCCCAGCCCCAGTCCCACAAAGTGAGCAGCAAGTCTCTTCTAGGTTCTCTTGTGTGCTGAGGGATCATGGAGGGGCTCTCCCAGGTCAGACCAGGTTAACTCAGTCTCCAGTAAGCTGGGAGCAGGGGCACACAGGGCTTGAGTGTGCACATATGGGCAGACTAGACCCTAGCCCCAACTCAACTTGTTCATAATTTTCCACTGTTAGCACTCCCGCCCTGATATCCTCACCCTGACATCCTGTGGGAGTTCCTGGGCCAGGAACTGGGGTCCTCATGTTCCTCAACACATCCAGGGTAACCAAAGGCTCACTGCAGGTTATACGGGCTCCAGGGTCCAGCCTCCTCCTTTCCCTTCTCCCAGCCTGTCCTTTATCTACCTTGTCTTATTCCTCCTCCTCCCCTCCTCCCTTTCTCCCCCTTCTCTCTCTTCCTCCCCACATCTTCCCTTTCTCTCTTCCCTCCTCCTTCATTTCTTCCTCGCAGTCCCTCCTCCTCTCTACCTTCATCCTTGGTGTCTGAAGTCAGCCTTATAGACAAGACGGGATCCAACCCAATACCTTCCACTGCTGCACACTCAAGCCTTTCTGAGACATTACCTAAGTGCCTCCTTACCTAATCCCCCAGCCATCTCCCACACCAGCCAACCCCGCTGGGAGGAGAGCCAGATGCCTGCCCCGGTCCTGGTCCCAGCCCAGGGAGTTGCCTGGTTGGTCTCTGGTTGGCCCCTAGCACCTGCAGGCTCTGGGCCTGTGTCCCTACCTATGAAGGACCCTGGGGCCATACCATTGAAGAATCATCTCTTGGGATCCACCCCTTGTCTGTGCTCACTGGCTAGCACTCATGGTTGGATACCCTGCCCTCTAAGAATTGCTGGGGAACCTCTTCTCCAACCAAGAGTATGAAGTCCCTTTCAGGATTCAAGGGTGTCTTGTCCACTTGGGGCTGTACTCAATGGGAGAGGTCTTTCTTCCTGCCTTCCTGCCTCAGTGGCCAATGGGAGCCCAGCCACTGAGAAAATCAGATGGAGGTGGATCTAAACCTCACTGTGGTGAACGGCTGTGCAAGGCAAAGACTGTGTAGGGGCTAGGAGGTGAGCTACAGTCTGCACTGTACCCCTTTTGCAACCATATGTACACAAACAAATATGCATGCAGACACGCCATACATGCAGACACCATGTGCCACACACATATCTATACACATATATACATGAAAGGACAGGCTTATGGGTGCCATGTGCAGTCACAAGTTAAAGAGATATACGGACACAGACATGGGACATGGCTCCTATGTGTACATGCAGAAACACATACAGACAGATCTACTGATACAGCCCCTCTGAACACGTATAGACATCTGTGGACACACAGACCTAGGCATACACACATAGGCATACTCACACTCACAGGGTCATGCTCATTTATCCTGAAAGAATAGCTAGATGCCTAACTAAGGGACATTGTGCATAAATGATATGGCCTAAATATGCATAAATAATAATAGCTGGCAGCCAAGACTCCAAGAGAATGACCAGGACCCCCTGGGGGTGGACAATCAGATCAGACTGACCTGATGGCTGGTCCTGCCTGTCCAACAACTTTGCACAGATGGGTTCAGCCAGCACTCACAGTACCTACCCAGAAAAATGACCCCATGAAGCCCCCCAAAACCCCAGGAAGGAACCATGACCTCCTTACCCCTGCTGTCTGTCAGTTACAGGGTTCTGAGGATCTGAAGGGGAACACAGCTGGTGGGCTTCAGTCTGTGATCAGAGGTTCAGTGAAGGGCCAGCATGGGCATGGGCCTCATTGTCTTGGAGGCAAGGATACAGATCTGAACATCTTGATCAAGTAGATGCTCCATAGTCCCTTAGACCTAGTTCATAGACCTAGGAGGGTCCCTTCCTAGGTCACAGGATTAGAGAAGGCTTCCTTGAAGAGCCTCAACTCCCACCCAGCCTCAGCACAGGAGACAGAGACTGGCATCTGGGATGGCCACACAGACTAGGGTGATCAGTCCTTCACGGTTAGCAAGTCTCTTCACCCTGGGTCCTCCTGACAGAAAGATACTTTTTCCTTCTTTTCTTCCTCCTCCCATATTCTCTTTCAGTCTGAACCCTCCTCCCCACCTCCAGGCCTCCCTTTCCTCCTCCCGCACCCCCAGGCCTCCCTTTCCTCCTCCTCCCACACCCCCCAGGCCTTTCCCACATCTCCTTCTTCCCTGTCCTCGCAGGTTCCCCCACGACCTCTATGAAAACAGCAGACTCAGGTTGTCTATAATTTAAAATACATTTATTTAGTGTTTCCATTTGTTTCTGGTTTTGTTACACAAAGCTGTTAAATAAATACATTCTCTGCAGTCACTCAGGTTCACACCTACTCGCCACACAGATGAGGTAGAGAAATCACAGGCTGCACAGGACTCCACACACAGACCGCGCTCCCTTGTGTGTCCGTCGCCCTGCCAGGGAGGCCGGCAGCAGGCCTCGGAGCCAGCATACGCTGGGTGGCCAGCGGGAGCGGGGCAGTTGCTCACCCGACTGCCCACAGAAGAGAAGAAGATCCAAGAGGCTCTGGCCTGTGGGAGTTGCTTCATCCAGAAAGACATTCTAGTATATATTTATACAGAAACAAACCAGCTGGCAGACATTTTCATTCTGCCTTGTTTTAAAAAATACTTTTCTGAATATTGAGGACATAGAGCTAAATGTGGTATTCGATAAAAATATTCTTCCTCTGAACTGGCAGGCTCCTTTCTCCAGAGCTTACAGGGATGAAGCTCCAGACGGTAGTGACAGCGTGACTGGGTACAGACTTCTAAGAAGTGCGGGGTGCCCTCCCCACCCACCAGTCACTGCGGATGCCACTCAGATTCTCATCCTGGGAACGTGGCATTCATCGGTGGGCTATCATAAACCACAGGAGAATAAACTTTGCTATTTACACATCCAAGAGGGACCAGAGTCCCTCATCCACATAAATAGTTTTCCTTTTAAGACACAGTCTTACCACCACCCCAGGCTTGGGCATTCTGGACCCCTGGAGCTCCAGGGGAGCCACCCCTTCCTCAGTAGTTCCTGCCTCACTACCCACACTCTAGCCCACGTAGCCATGGGATTCCCACACAAACCTAAAGCTGGGCTTCCTGGGAGCCAGGGAGTCACCATATTGCAGAGGGCACAGGCCAAATGGATGCTGGTCACGACAGGTCAGAGTACATATACTCACATTCTCACACAACCCATGCACGCACACCCAACACCAGCTCAGTGTAGACATCAGCAAGACCTGGTGACAGCAAGTGTGTCTGTCCCGCCATACCTCCCTTGGTGACACAGAGCAAGCGTGGCTTCCTGAGATGGACATTCTAAAAGCTAATCCTGCCTCTGTCACCACGCCCATGCCTCCAGCACCCTAGACCCCACAATCCATATCCAGCAACCTGGTCACTACACCTGCAGGGTACAGAACCACACCAAGAGCCTCTGAACCCCAGGTAAGGTAGGATGGGGGGAGGCTCCCAAAAGCCCTGAGGGCCATGGTTAGGCCCATTGCTTCATTTCTTTCCAAACATGACACTGATTTAGTGGTTTCAAACTAGAGCAAGCAGGGACAGTACAGAGGGACGGAAGGCGGGGCTTCCCAGACTGGCTTGGTTGGGCCTGGGGCAGGTCAGAGGAAAGAGCCACAGATTAGGAGGCAAGGGGATAGAGAAAATAATAATTACTATATTAGTTAAATAATAATAATTTAAAAGTCTCTGATACTCCAAGGAAGTGCTCAGGGTCAGAGGGCCAGAGGCTGGGCCCTGGAGACGGAGTGGCTGCCCTCTCCTAGTGGTTTGGCTCTCTGAAGACAGTGCTGGCACCAGGCTGCTGGCCCAGAAGGGCAGCCATGTGATTATGACGGTGCACCTGCCCTCCAAGCCTCAGAGGAAGCCAAGAGGCAGGGAGGGGGCAGTCGACACACTGGTCCCTGACAAGGGCTGTACTCTAGGGACTGGTGTGTCAGGGACGGAGGCAACTGAGAAAGCATTACTGCAACGCTCTCGCGTCAAGGGGAGGAAGGCATAAGCAAAAGGGTTGAGGAGGCCAGACAGGGGCCAGCCCCGCCCTCTGGGCCTTTGAGAAGGAAGACAGCCAACCAGCTGTCGGCATACCAGGGCCCAAGTGTGCTAGGGGCACCTCTCCTTCCTTGCAGACCTTCTGTGTTGTTTGTGACACCTGTGCCCCACGCAGCAGGATAGGTTGGCCCTGCAGGGCTCACTCTCTGCAGGTTAAGATCCCATGCACTGTGTGCAGTGACTACAGCCCCTGCAGAAAGGCTGGCAGAGGCCAGGGTCAGCTCCTGCAGGTGGAGAATTCTTCTGGTGCTGTGTACAAAGCCCATGCCCCTCGTGGCAGGGCCACGGGGCCTGAGGTCAGCCCTTGCAGGTGTAGACTTCCTCCCTCTGTGTACACTGCCTGCACTCCACGTAGCAGCACCAGCGCACTTGGCATTGGCAGGGCCTCGTTACCACACGGCTCTGGGTGTTGTGGCCACGGCCACAACAGATACTCTCGCAGTTCTTCTCACGGTGGCACCTGCGGCCTGCAGTGCCAGGGGAAAAGCGGCCAGCCAGGCAGAAGCTGGGTGAGTCGTCCAGGTGGACCAGCTCCGGCGTTCGGGGCAGTGGGTCACCACCTCCTGACCCAGAGGCCCGGCCCCGTGGTGGGGAGATGGCTCCGGCCTCGCCCGTGGCTTCATTGGTAGTGCTGCCCACTTTGAGCGCCGTCTCATATTTGTGTTTCAGGTGCTTGCCCACTTCGTGGAAGGGCGCCAGCTGCCGCCAACAGGTCCGCACCGTGCAGGAGCCAGACACGCCATGGCATTTGCAGGTGGTCTCTACTCCGGCCTTTATCACCTGCAGTGGGGAGTGGAAGAATGAGGAGCTTGCCAGGAAGGCCCAGAAACATCAGAGAGGCCCCAACCTCTGCCTACCTTTATTGCCCACCGCGCAAACCTTGGCCAGCAGGGGTCAGCACTGTGCAGCACACAGGAAGCCCAGCAGCCAGGATCACAGGCTGGCTCTTTCCCTCCAGTCAGGACTGCCAGGAGACAGAGGCCTTAATGCCAGTGCCTTGACTTCCAGGACGGACCTCTACGCCTCTATGAGCACAGGCTGGCCCACACCCCTTTGAGACACTTCCTGGCTAACCTTATAACCATCCCTGCCCTGCCATCAATAATTCCAGCCTTGCCAGCGACTCCTACTTCTGATCTTAGCAGTGGCTCATTGGGCCGGTGAAGACAAGGCTCCCTCGGGGCTGTCTAGGCTGACCACAACCCTCCTCAGTACCCAGCTCCACAAGGACATACAAACTCAAGCCCTACCCCCTTGAGGGTCAGCCTATGAGGGGTGGATGCGGATGCACAGGAAGGGGGGAAAGTATGCTTCAAGAAAGGTCACTTCTTAAGGAAATGCTGCTCCTAGGAGAACCTCTAGGGCTGACTTCCCAGGAGAGGCTGCACCCCGTGCCCCATGGCCATAGGTAGGAGCAGGCATGGTTGAACACCAAAATTCCAGGTCTGGGTAAGCTGCCAGGGAACCCTGGCTAGGCCCTTCCCTTCTCAGGGCTCTGCCTGAGGGATCTTCTGCCTGGCCTCTCATGCCCAGGGTCCTTCCAAATTCTGTTTCAAATCTCAGAGAGTTGTGGGGCAGAAGAATGTCAGGGAGGGGGGAACCTCTTCCTAGGTGGACCCTAAGCCAAAGCTGAGCTCCCAAGCCGGCCCCCAGGAGCGTCCATTGGAGAGGGATTAAGAAATGGAGCTACTTCCTCACTTTCCTGCCAGGCAACCAGAGTCCCACTTAAGCACGCTTTCCTGAGAAAGCAGGGCAGATTTAATTAAAGCGCGGCTGCCTGGGAGCAGTAAGCTGAGGGAGCACGTTCACACATTCTGACTTTTCATTAATAGCTCAAAAGGGTAAGGTGGGGAGGGATGGTCCAGCAGGAAAGAAAAGAACAGCTCGGCCTTGAAGATTGAATCTGCCCTCCCGGGCTTCCCTCCCCACTAGCCTAGCCCTGAGAAGGCCCTGGCTGCAAAGGAGGCAGACCAATCCTTTAATAAGTGGGGGATTCAGAACTCCGATTACTCAATAACAAGGAGCTCAGGGCAGGACGGGCTCTAATTACCTTGCTGTCCTTCTTAGACTGGAGATGCAGAGCCAGGCAAGGGGAGGAGGAAAGGCCCCCAGCTCCCGAGGAGGGTATGGACCCTGTTTTCCCAAGCACAGGCTAGAGTTTAACATTTGGGTCATTCAAAGATGAGGTGGGGGTGCTTGGGGTTCTATCTTGTTCCCATTCAGCAAAGGTAAACCAGGAGCTTCAGGGCCGTGATATCCAAGACATTCAAGAGGCCAAGCAACTCCAGAGTTTGGCCATGCTCCCCAAAGGCCTTCTAGAGAGCTACTAAAATCCCCTTTTTGCCTGTTTTCAGAGTGGGGTCTCCAACTTTCAGAACAGAGTCTTGGCTACACACCCTGGGCAAATGGTCCTGTACCCTTAGCTCTTCCTTGGAACCTCCCATCTACTAGACTGTGGCTACCTTCTACTTCTGTGGTGACTCTGTAAGTCAATTTAGCCGGTAGGATACATACCACCAGCTTCTGTGGCAGCCTGTCCAGAGAGACAATCCCAGGCCCTTGCCTTGCCAGGAACAGGAGCAGAGAGTGAAGAAGACCCTTCCCTCGACCACCACTAGGCACCTCCATGACCAGTGACCCCATCTGTCCCGTAGCTCAGCAGGATTCCAGGACCCTGCCTGGCTGGAACTGCAGGGCTAAAAGAGCCAGCTCCTGCCTCCTCCCCTCACTCTACACTCCCCCAGCTAGTCACCGGCTCTTCATCCACTCCGTGCCCCGCCTCCCTGGACGCAGCCGCGCTCACCTGCCCTATGGAGGTCTACTTAGTGCCTGGCGCTAAAATACTCACTGAGGCCCAGCTCCTCTCAGACCTGACAATGCCCCCCCCCATCCTGCCCTGCGCCCCACCCAGCTTGCCTTCACACCCACGAGGTTGTTGTGGAAGTCCACTCGGGCTCGCAGATCCTTGCTTGAGCGCCGGCCCAGGAACTCCTTGACAAACTTGCTGCTGTACTTGAGGTTGTCTCCGCAGCCACCCCACTGCCAGGCCTCCCGGTTTTCCAGGTCAGGGGCCTCGTCACAGGTACAGCGCTCCATGCGCCCTGCGCTGCACGCCTTGGCCAGTGCGTGCGTCAGGCCCGCAGAGGAGATGGCATAGAGGAAGGCAGTCTCCTTGAAGCCTGGGGACAGCAGTTGAGTTAGTGAGGCCCAGTGGACAGGCAGGCACAGCGGCTTTGCAACCCACAGCCCAGTGTCACATGTGTGCTGGCTAGGTTAGGGGTTGGGGCATGTGCCTTTGAGGGCCTTTGGTAGGCACCTGGAGAGAAATGCCGAGGTTTCAGTAGTGTAGGACAGGTTAGGGAGTGGGTAAGGCTTCAGTGCCTACTGTGGTACCTCTAGCCTGGTGGTCACGGATCTCAACCAGGTCCCCAAAGTCTTGGCCTGTCCCTGGGGTCCTTGACAAATCCAGCCTTAGACCTTAGGTCTCTATTAACCTGTGTATCATCTTTTGTCCATCCATCCATCCATCCATCCATCCATCCATCCATCCATCCATCTACCTATCTTCAGCATCATCTACTATCAATCATTTATTTATATATTTCCTATTACCTACCATGTCTATATATCATCTATTTATTATCAATCATCTATCATATACAGGCAAGTACTCTACCACTGAATCAACTCCTATTCCCTCAGGTCTCCAGTTTTTATGAAGAGACTCCCACGAGCTCCTGTGCCCAGTGGAAGAAGGGGCAAGGAGGAGGATTTGCCTGAGGCCCGAGGCTTTCCGTCAAAGCTGATGGTAAGCTGCCACCTGCACACCCGTGCCAGGGAGAGATTGGAGGGTATGGCTGAAGGGGAGCCAGCGAGACTTACCTCGCTTGAGCAGGCTGGCTCGGTAGCGGCCCTCCAGGGTGCAGTTCCAGCGCTCAAAGCGGAACTGGTACTGGCACTCCAGGGCACTCATGCTCACGGCCTCCACCAGCGTCTCGGCTACACCCGGGTCCCTGCGGCACATGCGACGCTGCTTGCGCTCCAGCTTCAGCCTGTCACAGGCCTTGTAATGTGCTTGGGCTGCAGCCTCAGCCTCCAGCGTCAGGGGGAGGATAGTCAGGGGTTCACTGCCTGTTAGTCTAGGGACAGAGAGGAGAGAGTGAGTATCCGTCACAGTGGGGGAGGACTGTCTGGGCTGTCTTCCCAGGAACAGAGGAACCAGTACACTCAGCCAATCAGGTAGTGCATAGAGACCTTCCCTGAAGCTGCCTGCTCTCACACCTATCAGCACTGCCCTGTCCCCTACAGAACGCCTAAGGGACCCCCGTGGAACCCAAGGCCCTCCTGGTGCCCAGGCGTGGTCTCTAACAGCTTTGCAGTTGTCCCGACAGTTCCGGTTGACTCCAGCATGGACGGAGAAAGACCAGTCCCCAGTCACTCTCTTGAGAGCACAGCAGTGTAGGGCTCGAGTGGAAACGCAGGACTATGGTGGGAGAGGGGCCAGGACCCCAGGCTATGTCCATACTGCCCTCCTCCCCTGTGCTATTACCAGCCAGCGTGTCCTGGACTCCCTTCTTCTCCCTGACCCCCTGAAGCCTGTCTGGACGCCACGTGATCCGACTATGGTGGTCTCTCGGCCTCAGGACCGTGGGCACACTGGCCCCTGGAGAAGCAAGCCCCAAACCTTCACTGTTAGCGGCACCTAAGGGTTATGTGGAGAACTAGCTTTTAGACAGGTAGAGGGGAACAATGAACAAGAAGCAAAAACAGAAAGGAAAAAAAGGGATAGGAACGAATGCTGAAAGAGACTGTGTAGTATCCCCTGATGCCTGGAGAGCCTGGACATGTTCAGACAGCATCAGTTCATGCTCTGCCTGAGGGGACTGAAGACAGGGTGCCCCTGAATTCCACCATTTAAACAGGGACTTGAAGAGACCAGGGTCCCTGTCTGGGCCAGCCTGCCCCTCTACTGTCCTGCTGGGCCTGACTTTCTCTCAGAACCCTTTTTTTGACTCTGGATGGACTCAGTGCAGATATCTGGAAGGCATGTCATCAGAATGACAACATTCAGGGGCACAGAAACAGGGCTAGGATTTGGGGGCTTGGAGTGTCTGGGTGAGAGGGCTTGGAAGGAGGCGGGGACCACCTACTCAGGGCAAGGTTGCTAGGAGACCAACATCGAACACAAAAATAGCCCACGTGAGCGCTGGAAGAAAAGATGAAGGGTCATAAGATCACTAAGATGAAGTGTGTCCTTCCCTGAGACTGAGTGTGAGTGTAAGGGGTGGATGTATCTGAATACCTAAAAGAACTAAAAACTTTTGGGGTGTTGCAAAGGGCCCAGAAATAAAAGGACAACAGACAATCTTGAAAGCTGTTTGCAACTTATTTCCCAGAATAAACCTAACTCTATGACTGTGTGTGAGTGTGTGTGTGTGCACATGTGTGGATAATCACAGAAAGCAGACAGAAGTAACCTTCCTAGTGCGGCGCTCTCTGAGAGTGACTGCATTATGCTCCGTGTGTAAAATGCCCTGGGCTCATGCTTTGGTCTCCTGCAGGTGGCACTGTTTTGGGAGCCTTCCGCAGCTCCAGGAAGTGTGGCATGGCTGGTTGATGTAGGCCGTAGGGGTGGCCTTGGATGGCGAGGCTCACATCCTTGGCCACGCTGTTTCACCACGCCTCACCCACCACGACGGACGGACCGAAACCCTCTGACACAGTGAGCCTGAACACATTCTCCCTTCAGTTGTTCCTGTTGGGTATTTCAGACACTGGGATGCAAGCATCACCAACATAACAGATGGCAGTAATGCACTGTGTCCCAAAAAGCTAGAAAGATTTTGAAAATGGAAGAACTAAGGTATTTTAGTAGACTGCTTAGTCTTCAAAACCAAACAATACCTGCAATATGAAAGCATCACTGACTCCCCCTTAGTTGACACAATTTTTTTATGTATTAGTTGAAAAATAATAAAATAGTTGGGCAGTGGTGGCGCATGCTTTTATTCCTAGCACTCAAGAGGCAGAGGCAGGCAAATCTCTGTGAGTTCAAGGCTAGCCTGGTCTACAGATCAAGTTCCAGGATAGCCAGTGCTACACAGAAAGAACTTGTAAAAAAAATTTTTTACAAGAGAGGACTGGTACAGGGGTCAATGAGATGGCTCAGCAGGTTAAGGCACTTGCTGCCAAGCCTGCCAGCCTAAGTCTGATACCAGAACCCACATGGTGGAGGGAGAGAACCAATTCCTGAGAGTTGTCATGAGACACCCACACGCATTCTGTGGCACACATGTGTGCTCCCCACCTCCAACACACCAACACTTTAAAAAAAATAAACTACAACTGCTCTTAGATCACAGGTGTTCATTTTCACTGAAAAAAAAAAAAGCCAACACATGATGGCACAGGCAGATCCCAAATATCCCAACCACTTAGGAGGTTGAGGGAGGAGTATTACGAGTTCGATGTCATCCTGGGCCAAAAAACGTGACCCAGACAGAAAAACAGAAAGGAGATGAAGAGAGGAGAGGAGAGGAGAGGAGAGGAGAGGAGAGGAGAGGAGAGGAGAGGAGAGGAGAGGAGAGATTTGAGCTCCAGAAGGTCTGTGCTGGCCAGTTTTATGTCAACTTGACACAAGCTAGGATCGCTGGAGAGGAGGGACCTCAGCAGAGAAAATGCCTCCATAAGATCAACTATAGGCAAGCCCGTAGAGCATTTTCTCAATTAGTGATTGATGGGGGAGGGCCAGCCCATTGTGGGTGGGGCCACCCCTGGGCTGGGGTCCTGGGTTCTATAAGAAAGCAGTCTGAGCAAGCCATGGGGAGCAAGCCAGTAAGCAGCACCCTTCCATGGCCTCTGCAGCAGCTCCTGCCTCCAGGGTCCTGCTGTCTGAGTTCCTGTCCTGACTTCCTGATACACGGTGATGAGAAATAAGCCTAATAAGCCCTCTTCTTTCCAAATTGCTTTGGTCATGATGTTCCACCACAGCAATAGTAGCCCTAACCAAGACAAGGTCCCCACTTAGAAAAGTTTGACTTTACAATGGCACAAAAGTGACAGGAATCCAGGAAAGATGGTACTGTGGATTTGCTTTCTGCTTTTCCTGTGCACTCACTGTGTGGCACAAAGCTCCTTGCAGCTGGCCCAGGATCCTAAGAGGAACACCAATGCTCAGAAGTGACATAGGAGGTCAGCTTACGATGAAACAGACTTGGTGTTGATTCTGACCCACTAAACTAGGCTCCAGTGTGTGCTGGCCTGAGCTGGGACGCTGGGAGGGTGGGTACATTCCATGCATTTTGGACTAATAACATGCCATAGGTTTCTCGGGACATAAGATATTAAGGTATTAAGTCACTGTGCCGCATGGCCCTCACACACGACAGAATGCAGTGCTGGAAGGGTGTGCAAGAAGGAAGTAGGGAAGGGCTGGATCTGCCTCATCCACTGTGCCCTGGTGTGAGCAGCAGCCCTGTGCCAACACGGAGCCCACCCAACGCCCCACAGATGGCATGCCCAGCAGCCTGCAGACGGGCTTGGAGACAGAGGGAAACACTCAGGACAGGCCACCTGGGGAGGGGGAGCACATTCTTTCCCGCACAGCTGTGTGTGTCCCTGGGCACAGATGGCTTTTTTGCAAACACGTGGCAAGTGCCTGCCTCTATGGCTGTCTACCCAGAGGTTGTGGCCCTGGAGCCCAGACAGCATCCCCTGTATCCTGTCCTGGCATGGCATAGGCCCTACCCACCGGACCAGCTGCCTGCCACACACAGAGCACCTGCTGCCAGGCTCAATGCAGCTGCCGCCCAGCCCTAGTGGTGTCTGGCCTAACATGGCAGACAGAGCCAGCTGCACAGCTCAGCACAGTCACCCAGCTGGGCACACACATCTTTCCAGGCAGGGGTGTGGGTTTCTCTTTCTACATGGTCTTTCTGGTAACTAAAGTCCATACATACCATGTCTGTCTATGATTCTGTATCTGTCTACACATAGGTCCCTCATTCTGATCAGACAGACAGACAGACAGACACACACACACCAATTACAGTGGGTTACACAGGGGGCTGAGGTTGCAGCTTCACTGGCAGAGTGCCTGTCTGGCATACAAACCCATGGGTTCTATAGATCGGGCATGAGAGCACACATCTGTAATTCCAGCACTTGGGCAGTGGAGGCAGGAGGATCAGAACTCAAGGTCACCCTTGGCTACAAAGTGGGACTGAGGCTTGTCTGAGTGACAGAGACCCTGTCTCAGAAGAGACGGTTCAATGGTTTAGAGCACTTGTTACTCTTGCAGAGGACTGGGTTTCAATTCCCAGAATGCATATGGTGACTTACAATCATCCATAAATCCAGGGGATCTGACACCCTCCTCTGACCTCCATGGGCAATAGACATGTGTGTGGTATACATACCCTCATGCAGACAAAACACTCAAACACATAAAATAAAATAAATGAACCTAGAAGATGACGAAGACCAAAAGTGAATTACAATTACCTAAATCCTAGTCTAAACTAACTAATAAAAATACAAGGGCAATGACTAATCTTGGTAGTTTTGTTTGTTGTCTTCACACGGCCCTACAAGCACACCAAATGGAAGTAACAACAGAAAACAGGACCGCATCAAGGCACGATGCTTCTACAGGACAAGGAAGCAATCCACAGGGAAAGAGACACCAGCAGAGCAGGAGGAAACACTTTAAGGAGCTAATGTCCAATTTAGTAACAAGAAATAACCCCTTGAAAACTACACAAGGTGGGCTGAAGAGACGGTTCAGTGATTGAGAGCACTCTGCTCCTCCGGACGACCTGGGTTCAATTCCCAGCATCCACATGGCAGCTAACAGCTGTCTGTAACTCATCTCTAGGAACCCAATGCTCTCTTCAGGCCTCTGTGGGTGTTGTATGGTCACGGTCCACAAGCACACTTGCAGGCAAAACACCAGTACACATAAAAAACAAAAAACAAAAACAACAACAGCAACTAGCCAAGGAGATTACTCCAAAACAGACCTCATACAAGGAAAACATTCCTAGATCCTCATGATTAGGAAAATGTCAATCAAAACCTCAATAAGAACCACTGGGAAGGATGGAAATTAGTACAGCCATTGTGAAAGAAAGCAGGGAGG